TAAGTGTTAACATAAATATATAAATGCATATATTTTATATTCACACGTTTTCTTGAGCCCCAGAATATCTACCCCCACTCCTTTCCCAACATTAGTTGCATTAAGAATAAATTATAGCAATGAGCGTTGTAGACAAAATCTGGTGACGAATGTTCGCTCCCGTGTATTATAAACTATTTTGCATGGAAAAATGAACTACATATTCTACGTGAAATTCCTTTTGTCAAAATAACCAAACTTCCCACTCCTCTCGCATCTAGCGAAGCGAGGGCTCAGAAAAACGGGCGCGGATAATACGTATACTATGTTGAGTTTACTTAGTACTTACTAGCAAAATCATGGAATTTCTGTTCGTTTAACTGTTTAAATTAATTTATTTAATTTTAGATCTCTATGCAACTACTGGTCAATCATAAGCGATCAAAATCTCTTTTACAATTTTACATTATAAGAAAATTTACATTTTTGATTACATTTCATATCATTATCTTTTAACAATATTAAGAATCAATACTATAGTTTTTGCTCTTGTCTTTTTATATTCGATTTTCAATTATAGTGATTGACGCTTTTTAAACTTCGTGAAAGCTTTTCTTTTATTACATTCTCGTACAAGTACGCACGAGTATATACAGAATAATATACCTACAATAGAGAAAGTTTTGAAAAGCTGTGGAAAAATGATTTCGAGATTTCAACGGAAATTCACTTTCGGGGTCTCCTGATGCAGCAAAAGTGTTTCTTTTTTTTTTTCAAAACGTCCGTTCGTCTCTTAATATCACTAGCGCCTAAACTATACGTAGGACTTTTTCCAAAATGGATTTTCCCTAGTCGATCAGGCTCGGATCGATGCGCTGCGATTTTCAAAAACTTTCTTCAAAATTTGGCTACTTTACATAAAGCCCCCAGATACTCAAAATTTTTTCAAAAACGGCTAAAAATTGTTTCCTAAAAATAGACTAAAATACTATAAAGATGTCACAGGTCCAATTTTCACGTTTAACTCTGAATTTTAGAAAATGGCAAAAGTTTGATTTTTTTCGGCGTCTTCCAACAACTACAAAATTGAAGATAGAGATTTTTTCTTCAAATGAAATTTGTTGTTCATAATTGTGGTTCCTTCATTTACATCATGTACAGTTTTTTAAACATTTGGTACTTTTCTCGCAATATTTGCAATTTTAAAAAGGTACAAAAACATGATTTTCTTGAAAATGGCTTCAATTTTTTTCTTTAAACTTTTGGTAGGAATGGTGCTAACTGCTCTTTATAAGAAGACATGAACGCCATATCGCTCTAGTCCTTTGAATTTTCAAAAATTACAAAATTGTAATTTTTTGACTTGCCTGTCACGTCGTTAATATTTACATTGTTGCAATTTGTTTACGTTGTATTTATGAATACATGTGCTTACATAATGTCATATAAAGTTTCTGGAAAACTCAACAGTTTTCTGTAAACACGAGCTCAAAATTCCTCATTTTCTGAAACGCACAAATGCCATTTTCTCAAAAATGGCTCCAAATATTTTCTTCAAACTTTTCCAACATGTAGTGCTAATTGCATTGTTTAAAATTAAATCAAGTTTATCTTGAGTTATTCTTTTGTTTTTTCAAAAATTACACAAATGATTTTTTTGAAATCTTTTACGCTGTTAACATGCACATTTCCGGTGGTTTGTAAACACTATTACATTTGTGAGTTGAAATGTCTCAAATAACTTTAAATAAAGTTTATCGAAAACTCAAAAATTTTCTGTGAAAGAGAAATTCAAATTTCTCATTTACAGTAACGCTTAAACGCCCTTTTCATAGTGAACGGCGCCAAATGTTTCAATGAAAATTGACATTTGTGGCATGGTTTTACTCTTCTTTAATATTTTTAAAGTAATATTTCGGTTCTACTATTAGGAAATATTAAAAAAAATATACTCTCGTATAAGCATTAAATTTCGCGTCTAAAATATCTTGGCCCAAGAGGGTGATGGCGATGTACTTCCCTGTTTGCCGACAGTAATATCTAACGGTGTTTATCAAAACTACGTTCTCTAGACCGAAATATTAAATTTATTTGATAGGAGATCGTATAAAATATTTTAACTTCCATTGAGAGCTAAATAGTAGTAGTATAGACGTAAATGATGCCTGCCCATGAAATTGAATTGTCATTAATTTTTGTATACGTAATGTTGGTTTAAAGTTTCGTTATTATATTCATGTTGTTGCAAAAGAAGAGCTAGGGCAGCTATTGGATGGCTCGATGTCAGTGTTGTTCCGCTACTGGAGGAGTGGCGGGTTCGATTTCCCGAATGGAGTATTTTTACCACAAATTTCGCCCAAAATACTAATTTAAAAAAATACATGTCATTTTTAAAGGTGTGTTCTTGATGAACACATTTCATTAAGAAAACAATTGTATATTTATAATTATAGGAAGACGGCGAAAAAATTGGGAATTTTTGCAATTTTCGAAAAATCAATGTTTTTAACTAACATGAGACATGGACTCTTAAACGTCTTCCACATTGACAAAATTCAATCAAAAACGTTGGAGCCATTTTTTTAAATTGACAAGTACAAGGGCCTCAAGTAAAGTACCCCACAAAATTCAACTATCGGTTTCAAATTTAAGGAGACGCGTCATCAGTCACGTCGATTGGGGAATATTAACTGTGGAGAAAATCGCCGAACTATTTAACCGCTAGCGTTGTTCACAGACGGACGGAATTTTGCCGCCAATCGATTTTTCGGTACCAATGACCCACAAAACATAGATAACTAGGTCATTTTCAACCACTGACTGGAGGAGAATTCTAGCAGTCGGCTACTGTTTTCGGTAGTTTCCGTAGTTTATCTGAATAATACCAGCTGAATGCCGGAGCAGTGTTACGGACAGCGACACGGACAAACGGGTCACGGTCAGCGCAGATTTGCTTCCCCAACCTTGTCTCATCCACTCCTCTGTCACTCTCTTTCTCTCTCTCCCTCTCTCTCTCTCTCTCTCACACACACACTCTCACACACACACACACACACACAAAGCACTATTATTTGAGGCGTTCACAAGCGAAGCCGAGTTTGCAAAAGCGCGAGCACCTAATTGCGGTGTCAATACTAAGTGGACCTCACTGGCCCATTAGGTCAGTGTTGGACCTCTGGCCTCCTAAAATGAATCTTTTTAACAGTGGTAAAAACATATCTGAAGCCATGAGCGCCGTTGTCTGAGGCCACAAGCCACGATGGCGAATTTATTAAAAATATTCATTTTACGAGTATTAGGCAAGGCGTGTGACAATGACCGATTCACATCGGCCACTTAAAAAAATCGAACTGGACGCCCTATGGTTCGAAGTGGCATTCAGAAATTTGATTGTTATAAAGACATGTGTCAGCTATCGAAGTCTGGGCTAACCTGACCGTTAAAACCTTACCTCTGTTTTAGGTGACGGGAATTGTTCCGAGTACATGACTTTCTTGAATTTATGGTCGGATACGGAGGAGAATGACATAAGTGAGAAGAAACAGGTGAGTGATTTAACATAAGAAATGTAGTTGTGAGTACGAGAAGCTTAGCGACGACTGAATATTTGGGTTAATTCAGAGCCTTGATGTGATTCATATAAAGTAAATTTCACGAACATACACTTCTCAGTCTTCTCCTTCATCTTTTTCTTCTGATCCTCCTTTTTCCCTCACTCCATCTTCCGGATCCAGATTGGAAATATATTGCAAATACTCCAGTTCAGCAAAGAGTAAATTATGAAATATAAAACTAGTAGTACTACACAATGCACCACACTTTCTCTCACTAGTTAGCATTCTAATCTTCTTAGCTTATCGTAGCTTTCCGATATTGCCCACTCTCGTCCTAGCTGCTACCTATCGGCCCCAAAACGAAACTTTGTCACATTTTATCAATGTTCCTTAATAGGAGAATCGAAATATATCTATACGAATATTACAGAAGAAAATTTAAAGCCATTCTTGAGTAAATATGGTATAATTGGTTCTGAAAATGCGTAATTATGAACTCATTTTCACAGAGAAGTTTTGGGTTTTGGAGAAACTTTGTCCGAAATTATTTGAAGCATTTGTGTTCGCAAATGGAATAATATTAAGTAAATGACCGTAATGAAAACGACGTGAAAAAATTGAAATAAGAATACATTTGTAAAATTTTAAAAAAATTCAAAGAAAACATCAAAATGGCGTTAATTTTATTCGGTGTATTTAGCAATGTCGGTACAAAATGTTTAAAAAATCGGAGCAGTTTTTGAGAAAACGTTCAAGCTTTTCTGAAAACTCGAAATTATGAGCTCATTTTTAAAGAAAATTTATAACATCTCGTTTAAATCCCTTGTACTTACAAATGAAATAATATATACAAAACGCCGGTATGTAAATATTAATGGCGTGACGCATATTAAAAAAAATATTTGTGTAATTTTGGAAAAAAATATAAGAATACAGCAAAGAAGTGTTTATGTCATCTGTTACAGCCCACTTAACACTATTACCACAAAACGTCTAAAAAAGACCCGATTTCGGGAAAATATTTTTAATTTTTTTAATATTGCTCAGATTTCACTCAAAAGTACGCGAAAACTATTCACATTTTGAAAAAAACAACAACAAACAACATATTCATGCCCTCACTCAAAGATATAATTTTGAAGAACAAAGTTTATTGAGAGGAAAAATCTCTATCTTTAATATTGAAGTTGGAGGAAGTCGCCGAAAATATTTTGAACTTTTGCCATTTTTTCGAAATTCAAATATTTCAACAAAACCAGGCCTGCGACAGTTTTGTAAGCTTTAGGCTATCTGAAGACAATGTTTAACCAAAAAAATTGTAGCCATTTTTTAGAAAATTTCCTTGATGCTTTATGTAAAATATTCCCCAAAATGTAATCATCGGTCAATTCAAGAGGCCGCTACAATAGCCAGATTGATAGGGGAATATCAATTTTGGTGAAGATACTGCTTACGGTTTCTGCTAGAGTTGTAATCGGAGACTCCTATAACAACTGGTGCCAAACCATACACGCATGTTCCGACTTACTTAATGATCCAATCACAATGCAGGAAGTAAATGGAGTTATCAATATCATAAACAATTCGAATTCGGGCCGTATGAGACGACCTCTGACATCCTCATACGGAATCTTCCAAGGCAAATAAGTCTTCGATATTTTAATTTTTTGTCTACATGTAAACCCTTCCCTAACAAATGGAGAACATCAACCGATATCCCCTCTCTAAATCAGCCAAAGCAAGATCCAACCCGATTAATTATAGCTCGATTTCCCTAATCTTTAACCTATGCAAGGAAGTTGAAAAGATTGGCAGGCGATAAGAAGGCTTTTCATCTAGAATCCTTGGCCTTATCTTCGACTGTAGGCATACCTGGAAATTCCAGCAAATTCTACTCTTGCGTCAACCAAATTGATCACCTATCTCATTTCAACCTTGCTCAAATTATAGATTCCGTGACAAGAATTAGAAACAGATTCCTGATTCAGGTATTTTTGAACATTCAGTCCGAGAAAAAGAATAAATAAGCGCTTTATGAGCTTTCTTACCGTTGAGTAGCTAGATTTAGAATTAATTTAGTTTATAAGGTTAATTTAAGTAGTCAAAAAATTACATTGGTACAAGGTATTGTAGTACTCAATTACGTACCTTGTTATTTCAATAAATAGAAAATGAAATAGAAATCGCTGAAAACAGTACATGAAAGATCTTATCACTAATGTCAAAAAAAGAATAAAACTTGCTAAAATGCAACAACTGGAGCGTAGCGATACATACTCGACTCCTCACTGACAAACCAATCATTCATAGTAGAATCGACTTAGGATGAGTAATATAGAACAAAGCTAATAACAACCTACTTAAAAAAATTGGATACTATACATGTTAGAGCGTTTAATATCATCCACCATTTTCACCGAAAAGGCAGCACGACAGATACTAACAACTACCTTTTTATCTTTCTCCTTTCAGTTACTTGCAAAATTCCATCTAAAGCCCTTCTCAATTACGCAGATACGCTACTAGATCCCCAACTTGACGAATATCAAGGCAGATTTCGGAAAGGAAGATCATGTGCAAAATCTGAAATATCTGTGGAATCAATCGAAAAAAATATCTGAAAAACTCTATGAAATACTTCCAAAACACACCAACCAAAAAGCTTGTCATCACATTTGTGGACTTTAAAAAGGCATACGACAGCATAGACCGAGAACCTCTCTTCAGAACACAGGCAGAATTGGACTGGATAAAAAAGCCCTCAAACATAATTAGGAAAAAAATATCTAAAGTCACATTTACGGGAGAACAAAGCAAAGGATTTAAAAAAAACGCGGGAGTGAGACAAGGGGACGGCATTTCTCCTTTACTTTTCGACTGCACCTTGGAAAACGTTCGAGAATGGAGAAAAGCAGGCGCTCAACACATCGACGAGGACCAAACTTCAAAGGTGTGAATTTGGATTGTGTAGCCTTTGAATTACCACTGTAATTAGTGCCACTAATTACATGGCACTAATTACAAAAGATATTCCAGATGCACAGAAACCATTTTAATTATTACATGAGCAAGCGCAAAAATCGGACTGCAAAAGTTTCTTTTGAAAAAACAATAGTTATCACAGATATTAAAACAGCCACACGATAACTTAAACTTGGAAATAGCAAAGTATTCCGCGTAAAGATATAATGAAGAAATAGAAGAAATAAATTAATAATTAAAAATTAATAGTAAATATAAAATATAAATAATAAATAAGTAAATAAATAAATAAACAAATAAATAACAAAATCCATAAAATTGAAAATTCAAAAAATTTAATCAGCATTTCAACTTACAAAAAATATTTATAACAAAAAGTTCTAATCATGGAGCTGCAAAATTCGCCATTACCAGGCAGTTATCAAACTGGGAGTACTCAATGCATCAGTAACACTTAACTTTCAACATAAAACATCAGTTAGAAGCTAAAGAATGAAAATTATGGGGAAAATCCTGGGCCCTAAAGTAAAACATGAAATACGTTACCCAAAACCAAATGAGGAAATCTACAAAAAAAATCCTAAAATCACAGATTCAATGCGAAAGTGAGTGAAAGATGCAATCGACATCCCGGAATTGCTCTTCAACAATGGGAAGCAAGAAAGTGTTTAAAACATCAACGTAGGCCTGTGCCGTGATAGAGACACACAAAACAACAAGGGGTGCAAGCCCCCTCCATGAAAAACACGACCACACGAAAACACCATTTCCGACGTGTCCGGATTCTTTCGATCACATAGTGTATATTTAATTAATTTCAACCAGAAATTACGCAAAAATACTAGTTTAAAAAATTGCTCAAGGCCTTTTTCGAAGAGCAAGTTTTGTGCAACAGACTTTCTCTGAGGCAAACATTTCTATCTTCAATTTTGTAGTTTTTAATGTTTTCTGCAATTATCGAAATAAGTAGCGATACCTGAAAATGGAGCCAACACCAAATTTTTGCCGACCCTTGTTACATACATGAAGATAATTTACAAAAAAATTTGGGTTTTTGGAGTGATTTTGTAAAAAAAAATTATTGCACAAATAACGCGACAACTACTAACTTTTAGAAAAAATTGTGCATTACTTTTATTAAAGAGCTAATTTAGTACGACAGACATTGTCTGAGGCAAAAATATCTTTATTCAGTATTGTAGTTTTACAATTTTGTTTTGCAATTTTCGAAAAATCAGGGATTTTAACGAAAATGAGACCTACACCATTATCTTAAACGTCTTTCAGCAACAAAATTTAATCAAAAACTTTGGTGTACATTTTTTGAAAATATTAAAAATATCCCAGGAGCTTTATGTAAAGTACTCCAAAATTAATAATAAATGTATGCGCTAGCGTTGTGCCCACATGGACAAGAAAGACGTTTTGACGTCAATCGATTTTTCGGTATGAAGGATGCACAAAACATTGATTCTGGCTAACCAACGTGTTAGAGGATTTTTCCTATATTTAGAAACTGAATTTATCCACTTTTTCGTTACCAGGGCCCGGTAATAAGATATGTTGTGTCGAAAATTGGCCTTTTTCCGGCTTACAATACTTTCTCTTCTTATGCGAGAGGTAATAATAAGTCAGTGCGAGAAAATAATAATACGAGAATGTATGAGATATTGAGGCAGTACTAGTTTTTCAGTGTATGTTCAGCCTGTAGAATAGTATTTAATTTTTGAAGTGCTTTTTTAAATCTGGAAGTCAGTTCGCATTAGTTAAATCAAATGAAATGTTTATTGTACTTTCACACATGGGATATGATAGGCATTTGAGAAGTATTATTGAGAGAAGTGTTATAAGTGAAAAATGTAAATCAAACTTTCGAGTAGGAGAGGTTAACAGGCTAGGAAGAATCATGCGAAACTTTCAAGCCAAATTTTTAACAGTGTATCAACATTAAAAAAAATAATAAAGAATATCTATCTATTTTAGAGGACGATAGAATATGACATTCAGTG